CCTGGATCTGAGAGACAGGTGTCTGTGATTCAGTCCCAGACAGAGACGGGTGTGTTCTCTTACGCTTCTGGGTTGCAGAGCTCCTAGTTGACATGACAGAACGTTTACTGTTGTTCATGCTGTCCTGTTTAGCTACTAATGCAGCTGGATGTTTACTAGTTTCAGTCAAATCTGCCTGAACCTGCAGGAGATCCGGTTGGTGGTTCAGCTCTTCCGTTAGCCGAGACTCCAGCCTGACCTCTCCAGTGGTGGAGCTCTGTGTTTCCTGTCGCTCGACAGTCAAGCTAAATTTGCTGCTGATTAGGATCAGGTGTGTTGAAGCAGATAAAATGGGATCCAGCAAGTTTAGAGTTTATCTGCTGGGAGCTCTGAGCTCTAGGACCGCGGTGCCTAGCTCTGCAGCTACTTTAAAGTTCAAGAGCAAGTCACCCCCTACAAGAAACTTACTTCACTCCCTCTTCATGGTTGAGAAATGCAACAAATGCTGTTGCCTAGCAAACCGAGAGGGCGGAGACGCTAACAAATACACACACAAAATCACAACGGCATTGTGACATCATAAAAACCAGTTTACATCACAGCATACCTCTTAGCCAATAGCTGTGGCAGATTTAAATTCAAATACAGTGCAGTTTTTACCTGACGACGGCGCAACACTGACAATTTCAGGCAGAATATTTACATTTTAACTAAGATGCACTGAAGTACCAAATTATTGACCACACGTGTCTGCAGCACAATTAGACACATTTATATAGTTTATCAGCAAAAAAAAGTTGATTTGGGGGTGACTTGCTCTTTAACTGCTATTTACCATTCAGAGCTGGTTCTGCTGGGTCGGCTCTGGTGGTTTCAGACAACTCACAAGCTCAAAACGATAGGGCTCAGGTCCGCTTGTCTCCTCCAAATAGCCTTAATCCATTTCCTCGCTTTCCTCTAGGTAAGGAGGGGGAGAAAAGTCCTCCCCTTCAAATGCCTGCTCAGTCAAAAGAGCTAGCATAGCCCCGTTAGCCATCCGTCTTCATCACTGCTGCAGTTCCGCCCTCTTGGTCTGCCAGGCAATGCCTTCTCTTGGTGCATTTTTCAAAATTGAAATGTATTTTTAAGCATTTCTAATATAAATTAACCTGCATAATCACTTTTTTAAAAGTCCAATAAAAATACATATCAAATTCCTATATATATATATATATATATATATATATATATATATATATATATATATATATATATATATATATATATATATATATATATATATATATATATATATATATATATATATATATAGTGCGTAGCCACTGTCTTGCGCCAGCGGGCTGGTCATTTTAAAAAAATGTCTTCAGTAATTTTCTACAAAATTCCAAAAAACATTTTATAGAGGAAAAAAAACTTCTCACCTCTTTCTTAAAATTTTAATTTTTGTTTTTCTTGCATCATAACACCAAAGATTCTGCAAAACTTCATAAAAATATAATGCTTGAAATCTGATATTAAGAAAAAGTTAATTATTTTCAAAGTAGAGTGTAGAGTTCAATAGTAATTCATTCACGTAACATTGCTGTAGTCTGTGATTCTACAAATTAGTTTGAAATGAAATAGTTTATTAAAAAAACAGTTCTTCAAAGTGCAATAAAAAATTGTAAAGAAAATTTGGTTGCATTTAGACAAAAAAAACAATCCTCAACATGTTCTTTCTCCACCCCCCCCCCCCCCAAAAAAAAGAACCCTCTATTTTCTTTAGAGTTGCATCAGACTTTAGAAATGAGCTTGATTTTCGTTTTGATTTGATTGTGAATGTTAACACGAATTAATCTGGTCGTTGCTGTTTAGTCGTGTTTGTTAACAGAACTAAATGTGGCAAATGGTGCTGTGAAACGTCCAAATCATCTCTTCTATTCATATATAGACAAAAAAGAAAAGTAAGGTTAATTACTCGTGTTTGCCACTGGTCACAAGTAGTATTTATATATATACACACACACATACATGTATAATAATTTGAATTGTTCACACTGAAGTCAAATCACATTTTTAAATTGCTTTAAGAATTTTTATTATTATACTTGACAAACCATGGATCAGAGTGCACTGATACAGAACCCTTTAATGAGCAAATGCATGATCATTAAATCATGATCAACTTTAATATAGAGTCCTTTATTCCCCTAAAAAACAACCTTTCAACGGTGGATTCTCTGACATGTGATGAGATATTCTGGAAAAGCTTGTGTGTCGTTGAAAATGACAAACATAGTTGGCTTAGTAATGTCATCGGTCACGCTGTCGTATCTGAGGGGAATGTCACCAGTCTCCTTTAGAGGTGCCGTCTTCATCGAATGGCAACCTTTAGTGAAGTCTCCTGTTAGAACCTTCGACACAAAAATAAACTTGTATCCATCGACATTTGGGGGAGAGTACTGGTCCTGGACCGACAGGGCAGAATTGACAGCAAAGTACACTCCCTGACCGTAGACAGTGGCTGGGCAGGGTGAAAAAAAAATCTAAAATTAGAAGCTGATGCTCAAGTCAACAGAAAACGTTAAAGGTGCAACATGTAAGAATGACATTCTGTGGTCAAATTTGGTTACAGCAGGATATTTTTCTAAGCCAAAAGCGACTTTCACTAGAATTTTACATATTGCTCCTCTAAACACATAAAGATGAGTTTAAACGTACCGTTTTTTCCACAGAAGCTTCTGTTGAACCCATGAACACAAATTTCTTTCACACTAGTGTCATTTGTGCCATGATACAGAGTCCGTTCAGCTACCGGGTGGGTGGACTGTTGCAGCACACTCGCCTTCTTCAGCTTGTACTGATTGTACAGCAGACGGTTCATAAGCTTTTCCACCTGGGAAGAAACGTCATAACGTTACGGTACAGAGACACACACACACACACACACATAAAAATGAATCATATATTCCTGGTTTTACCTGAATTATTCGTATTTTGCTGTGATATTCCTGTATGGTGCCATAGAAATTCTTCACCACATCCTGGAATTCTTCGGATTCTTCGTTGACTTTACTTGCTTCAGGCAAGTTTGCCAGCAGAGAGTATTCCTCCTCTGTTAAGAAAAGCTTTAGTTAGGATCAGTTATTAGATCAATGAAATTATCAACATGGATATGGAGCCCCACAAATGACAAATAAGGCCAGCAAGTCAAAACCTGAACATTTAAACATTAAATCTCATCTAGTCCTGACTTTTTGGACTATAAATCATGTCACGAAGAGATCAGTGTCCATTCCCAAACCCTTTATAAGCCAACATGCGAGTAACAACCACCTAAAAAAAGCAAGTAACCTGAAAGAAGAGTGCTGAGGGTACAGGAAAAAACAGTGACCCTGACTACCCACAAGGAAGAGAAATTTCTGTCCGAATGAAAAATTGATCATGAGAGGATTGTGGGAATCAGCAATACTGCTGCTGCAGAGGTGAACCTTAACTAAAGGGACACCATGTACAGTTTCATGCTATAGGGGCACTAGCTGTACATCTTGGATCTCAGCTGCTTTAAGAGGTATTCAAGAAAACTCAATAATGGATAAACAAACAGCAAAGTAACTATATGACTATTGTTGGGTAGATAACACGGAAGGGGAGGACTGTAAGGTGTTGATTCCGGTTTGCAGCTGCCACTCCCCGGAGTGTCGGCCAGAACACTACTCTAGGCCCGGATGGCGATTCAGGATGAAGACACCGAAGACACCCAGGATGATTTAAACGCTTGTATTGCCTCCACACAGTCAAAGGTAACAGGCTTATCGGAGGAGCAGGTGTTACATACAATTTTAGGTACAGGTGTGTGTGTGTGGTCTGTTGCTCAGTGACGCACACGTCTCACGAAATGACCACTTCTCTGCTGGTAAGCGGGAGCGAACACACTCAAATAGATCTCACCCACGTATCCACCTGTCCAAAAACCTCTCCCATCCAAAGTGTTGGGGTGACCTCTACAGGTCACTCTAAGCAACTACAGGTGAACGACTGAACAGAATAGAAAGGAGAACTCACAACTAAGGTGCCTTTTGTACAGCCGCCCCCAAATGTATGAAGTACATTTGCTCACAACAAAAGGTAACTTCTCTAATAAAGTCACTGTGATTGCCCTTTGTCTTCGTCCAGGAGGGCAGGCAATACCACCAGCCTCGCCACAGGTCGGGTGAAGGTCCTGTCTCCCACCTTGACGTCAGCAGACCTGATGTGCCCATCGGGACTGGGGTGGACCTTGGAGATGCGACCCAGAAGCCAGGAAGTGCGGGGTAGCTGAGGATCTATGATCATCACCACCGAACCTTCGGTGACGTCCGCGGGGGATGACTGCCATTTCGGGCGAAGCTGTAGGCTCGGAAGGTACAGTCGGATGAATCGAGACCAGAAGTGGTCAGCCAGCACCTGAGAGTGTTTCCATCTGCGGCGACTCAGGAGCTCTTCTTTATGGTAAACGACTTGAGGAAGCGCCCCATCAGGCCGCCCCATCATAAACAGTTGGGGGTCACTGGATCAGGATCACTGACGGGACATAACCTAGTGGTTTGGAGTTTAAGATGCCCTCCACCTCCACAAGGACCATACGGAGGACTTCCTCTTGTAGGGGTTGAGATCCTATTGTAGTGTAGAGTAGAGCCCCGTCTTGACAGATCTAATCTCCCGCTCCCACACTCCCCCAAAATGAGGAGCCGCTGGTGGATTGAAGTGGAAGATCTTCTGCAGGTCAGCGGTCATGGCCGTGAAAGCTACTTGGAGTTCCCTTTCTCCTCCACAGAAATTGGTTCCCTGGTCTGAGTACAACTCAGCTGGGGTCCCTCTCCTGGCAACGAACCAACGAAGTGCCATTAGGAAGGCATCTGTGTCGACGGAGGTCAGGACATCAAGGTGGACCGCTCTGATAGTAAGGCACTTAAAAATGATGCCCCACCTTTTCTCCACACGGCGCCCGATTTTGACCTCAAAGGGTCCATAACAGTCCATACCTGTCGAATAAAAGGCAGGTTTGTAAAGGCGAAGGCGCGCCACTGGCAGGTCAGCCATCTTGGGAACCGCTGGTCGGGCTTTCCATCTGCGACACTCAAGACAGGTCCTCTGGAAAAGTCTAACCGCTTCCCTGCCTCTCAGGATCCAATGACTGCGCCGAATCTCCGCGAAAACTCTCTCTGGCCCTGGATGATGCAGACGACTGTCGACATCCTGAATGAGCAAGCTGGTGACCGGATGTGTCGGATCTAAAACTAATTGGTGCGAGTTGGTAAACGCAAGATCTTCAGAGCGGCGGAGACGTCCCCCTACACGGATAATCTCATCTTCACGGTCAAACTCAGGGGACAGTGCGAGGAGACGACTACTGCGACGGACAGACTTCCCCTGCTTAAGAAGCCGATACTCCTCAGGAAAGCTCTCCCTTTGAGCTTCTCTCAAAATGTGCTTCTCCGCTTGAATATAGTCCTGAGCTGATGAAGTTCACCCGCCTCCGGCCGCCCCATGCAATTGCGTAATAACCGCCTCCAGCAGCTCCGCCCAGGTGACATATCTGCTGAAGTTTGAGGTGGCGGGGTCAAAGGTGGTAGAAACTCCACAAAAGTTCTCTTTGCGGAGCTCAGGTGAGCCTGGTGGCTCAGCCAGGGTGCCGCTCGGCTCTGGAGGCCACTGTTCAGGACTTAGGAGCAGGAAAGGAGGCCCTTGACTCCATCTGTTGGGTCTGGCCAGTACCAAAAGGGTCTTCCCATGGGTTATATCATCCGCGGGGTTCTGGGCTGAATCCACATAGCGCCAGGTGCGCGCTTTAGTTACTTCCTGGGTCTCAGCCACGCGGGTGCCAACGAAGACCTTGACGTGGCATGACTCGGACCTCAACCAGGTGAGTACAGTGGTGGAGTCAGACCACAGCACTATTCTCTCCATGTCCAGGGTGAGCTCATTTCTAAGGAGACGGGAGAGGTGCGCTCCAGAGAGGGCACCACACAGTTCGAGTCTGGGTATGGAGAGAATGCATTTAGGGGCAACACAGGAGCGGGCTATCAGGAAGGCCAGATGGGAGCTGCCATCACCCGTCACTGTTCTCATATAGGCCACTGCACCATAAGCCTGTTCCGATGCATCACAGAAGATGTGAATCTCTCTCTCACTGACTGACTCTGTGATGTGCTTTGGAAGATAAGGGCGAGGAAGCAGGACTTGTACAAGAAACGACAACTCCTCTTCCCAGGTTTCCCACTGCTGTAGCCGTTCTGGCGGAAGCTGCGGGTCATCCCACCCTCTCTGTTGATCCCAAAGGCGCCTCACCAGCATATTGGCTCGGGTAGTGTACGGTAGGATGAAGCCAAGTGGGTCGTACTGGCTTGCGAGAACCTTATAAATGTTCCACATAGTGGGGGCGCCATAACTGACTTTGCGGTGCTTGTACCCCAAAGTGTCCGTGGGGAAGTGCCAGCTAAGGCCCAGAGTTGGCTCGGAGGTGTCTGATTTGTCTTGAGTGAGCCAAGGTCCTGCACTTGTGGATCTGAGGTCTTCAGGTAGGTGGCCAATGGTGCTGGGTTCATTACTGGCCCACTGGCGAAGGACAAATCCAGCAGAAGACAGGAGGGTTCTTAGCCAGTCCACTAGGTCCCGAGCTTCTTCAGGGGTTGGTACACTCTGAAGGAGGTTATTAAAATAGAAACACTGTCCCACAGAGTGACGTATTGGATCATCTCTGTCAGTGTGATCTCTGACGTGGCGCTGCAGAGCGAAGGTTGCACAGCATGGGCTGCAGGTTGTACCGAAGGGGAGGACCTGCCATTCATAGATAGCCACAGGTGCCTCAGGGTGCAGATCCCACCACACAAACCGCAGAAGGGAACGGTCTACGGGAAGGAGGCGAATCTGGTGGAACATACCCTTTATGTCACCACTAATGGCTACGGCATGCTCACGAAAGCGAAGGAGGACACCAAAGAGTGAGGCGCTCAGGGTCGGCCCAGGTAGAAGATGGTCGTTGAGGGCTTGGCCTTGGGACTGGAACGAACAGTTGAACACAAGGTGATCTTTGCCATTGTGACTAACAAGGTGGTTAGGGATGTACCATGACTCATCTGCTGGAGCAACCTCAGAGGGGGCCACCTTAACCACCGAACCGGCCTGGACCAACTTCTCTATTTCCGCGCCGTAGATCTTAGCCAGCTCTGGATCTTTCTGGAGCCTTCTCTCCACACTCCTCAAACCGGGAACGACTATGTTAGGGCTAGCTTTAAGGTGTGGCATGTTCTGGCGGCGAAGTAGGGGGGTGGCATAGCAGTGGGTGCCCTCAACATCCACACGAACTGTCTTCTGCTCCAGCAGGTTAACTACATAGTGATCTTCTCTTGACCGAGTAACCACTTTGCCTTCTGGTACTGGGACGACATCTACCTGCCATAACTTCTTCACATGTTTGAGTAACTCACTCATCTGAGGAGGGATGGCGGTTATGAATAGGCACTGTTGTGGCAGCGAAAAGGAACCGATAAGGCTGGAGGGGCCCTGTAGTGTCCACCCTAACCTGGTGCGCATAGCAGCGGGACCACCCGGTGGACCGAGACGAACAGCTTCAGTTGGAGTGATGAGCTGTGGGTGGTCACTGCCAATGAGAAGGAGGGGTTTGACCTTCTTAAAGGCCTGGAGAGGCAGGCCTCTGAGGTGTCTGTACTTCCGCTGCAAGGACTCCACAGGATAGCTGCACTCGGCTAGGTCGATACGGGTAGCGGTGAAGGCGTTGCGGACCTTGTACCTCAACTTAGGTTTGCCACCCACGGAGATCTCGAATGAGACACACGAACCATGCAGAGTTTGCACATCTTGTCTGAGTGCGCAATGGAAGGGTCTCTCGAATGCCTTGAAGGTCAAGGATCTGGGCAGCGGTGGGCAGCAGCATAGACCTCTCTGAACAGGGTTTCCCTTACATAGGCGTAGCCGTGGCGGGCCGCCATGGCTGAAATCCCACCGCCACGCCTACAACAGGGGTGGACATTAACTTCAAAACCAACCGGCCAGCCGGGCCGGTAACTCTGAATATTTACCGGCCCCGCCAAGAATCTACCGGCCCCGCTGGTC